AAAAAAAAATTTTTTTTTTTTTTTTTTTTTTTTTTTTTTTTTTTTTTTACATTTTCTTTTTTCGTTGTTTTTCATTTAAATTTTCTTGATTTTCATCTTCAGAATCATTTATAATGACATATTCATCTTTAATATTTATATAATTGTTTTCCATAGAATTTTGTTGGTTAGTATTCATACCAATTCCACTAAATTCCTGTTGAACTCTATCATTTTTAGAAATAAATCTATAAAAATATTTACAAAATAAGAAAAAATTAAATATAATAATTAATTTTGGATAATTCATATATATAAATACATTATACTCTGATGCTTTCATTTTTGCTTGTTTTGCTATGTGTTCAGCAAAAATATTTGCATTTTCTTTTAAATTGGCTATTGAAGGCATTTCTTTCCTACTAAAAATATATATATTAAAAAAAAAAATAACGAAAAAAAAAAAATGAAATGAAAAGAAAAAAATACTTATTATATATTCAACAAATATAGTTAAATCTATTTTTAAATTATTTATATTATACAACTTTTATTTGTATTTTTTTTTAATATTAATATTTATAAATAAATCTGGAAATTTTTTTTTTCCTTTTTATTATTTTTTATGTATTTTTTTTTTCTGGTTGCCTTTATTTTTCATTAAATTAAAAATTATTTATCATAAAATAATTTTCCATTTTTTTTTTTAAACAAAGTATGCTAATATCTACTTTTATTGAAATTATATAAACACATGTAAAATATTTTTCCTTATTTTCTTATTCTTTTATATACTTTTATATTTTTTTATTTATTTTGTTTATTATTTATATAATTTGTTCTAATTGACATATTTCTTTTAATTATTATAGGCTTTATATCTTATTTTTACCTATTTAAAACTTGTGATTCCATATTATTTTCATTTTTTTCCTCACACACAATCAAATTAGAATTTATATCTTTATTACTTTCCTTTTTTTTTTTTTCTTTATCTTCAAATTGAGATTTTAGTTCACTACTGTTATGTATATCTTCTTCATTGTTATGTTCCATATTTTAAAAGTTAAAATATATATATAAAAAAAAAAAAAAAAAATTATATATAAAATATAAAGCATGTATTTTAAAACACATCCCAAAACTCAAAAATAAATGATTTAAACTATTATTTGAAATTTTATTAAGAAAGGTTAAAATTTTTCATTTTATATTAATATATATATGGAAATTAAAAAAGTGTACACATATAAAAAAATTCTTGACAATGTTTTTTTTTTTTTCTTTTTTTTTTTTTTTCAAGGATCACAATGCACTTAAAAACAAAAAAGCTGTATGGATTGATCAATCATGTTTTATTTAAGAAAATTTTTTTTTTTTTTTTAAATTTATTACCATAGAAATATTTTGTTGCAAATTTTTAATTTTATTTTAAGTAAATCAGAAAGCAGAATAATATTTCATTTTATCATTCTTATTACTGACATTATTTTTTTTTTCTTAAATATGATACCAATTTTTTTTTTTTTTTTTTTTTCTAGTTACAAATATTTTTTGCATTAATCAAAATTTTCTACATGATATGGTGTTGTAATTTTAAAAATTTACACATATTTCCCGTATAATAATATAAAAGTAAAAATATTTTTATAAGTATTTTTTACTTAAACATTGATTATTTTATTTTTTTTTTTTTTAAAAAATTAGAATCTTCAAGAAAAGATAATAAAATAAATGTTCTATTATTTTTTGAGATTTCTTTTTTCTCTCTTCTATTTTATAAATACTTTCTCCATATGGAGTTTTTTTTTTTTTTTTTTTTGTTAATTTTAATTATAACGAATACAGTATTAACATTTTATGAATGAAAAAAATAATTAATTTTAATATAAACTCTTTTTCATACTCTCATTCTAATAGTAAAGTGATATATATAAAAACTGAAATTCATACACATTCAATATATATAATCAGTTAAATATTTTAAATTGTAAACCTCTATCTATTTATGAATATATTAAAAAAAAAAAAAAAGATGAAAGTGGAAATGAAGATGAAAAATTAATTTCCTTACAGTAAATTTACATATCTAGTAAACAATTAATATATCAAACAAAATAAATAAATATGAAAAATTAAAAATTAAAAAAAAAAGGGATATTATTTTTTATACATTGTTTCAATTTAATATATATTGTATCTTTATTAAAAAAAGAAGAAAGAAAAATGGTATGCCTTTCTTTTTTAATCTTAATTATTTTTTAAATGTTAAAAGTATCTATTTTAATTATATAAAAGTATTTTTTTTAAACACTTTTTTTTTTAAAAGTTATTACTTTATTTTAACCTCTAGCAAATTTGAATATTCTTCTTAAATTTAAAAATACTACAAATATATGAAAAATTAAATCTCATTTATAAAAATAAAATTGTTACACTTTTTTTCTTCTTTTATTAGATTTATAAATATTTTGTGAATGCCAAAATTATTTATTAACATTAATGTATAAATAAATATTTAAATAATATATTTAATAATTTATATTTTTATCATAACAATAAAAAAAAAAATAAAAAATAAAAATTAAATTAAAATGAAAAAATTAAATAAAATATCATAATTATTACTTAATTTACACACATTTGATTTATTTAAAACCATATTAAAAAAAAAAAGAAAAAGGGAAAAAGAAATATAAATTATATACAATAAGCAATAACTGGTTACCTTTTGAAAAAGATGAAAAAAGCAAATAAATATATGCATCTCATATTATGTAAATTGGAAAGGAAGAGAAAAAGAAAAATGTTTTCATTATGTAAATATATTTTTTCTATTCTTTTCTTATGGCTTTTATTTTATTATTAGTTTTTTTTTTACTTCTAAATAAAGAAATTTTTTTTTTTCTTTTTTTTATTTTAATATATAATAAAATAAAAGATAAAAAAAAAAAAAAAAAAAAAACACACTTAGGAAAATTTTTTTTTCTTAATTTTCAAAATTGCTATTTAATTTCCAAAGAAAAGAAAAAAAAAAAAAAAAAAAAGCCTATAATATTAATACATAAATATATAAACATATTTTAAATTAATTTTTTTAGCTAAATTTATATTCATTTTTCCGAATTTTATCTTCTTTTTTTTAATTATAGACCAATATAAAATTTTTTACATATTTTCGCTAGCTTCTTACATTTACTTTCCGACGAAGTAATATACACATAAATTAAATACAAATATATAAGGTTGTATTAAAAATTTTTTCTTAGTTTCTTTTTAATTTTTTTGTTAGTTTATTTTTGTTATTTATTTTATTTATATAATAAATACAATTTTAATAATTACCCAATAAATGTAATTCCTTAAGGCATGCATTTAAATAATAAAAAAAATATAAAGGATAAAAAATGAAAAAAAATTATATTTATTATTATTATCTAATAGATATGCATCTTTTTCTTTCCTCTTTTTTTTTTTATACTTTCATAGACTTCTAAAGAAATACATATAAAATAAATTTCCATACTTATTAGTTCTTTATTAATTATATTATTTTTTTTTTTTTTTTTTGTAAATATATAAAAGCATAGCTAAATTTTAAGAAAAATAATTTTATCTATGTTTCTCATTTTTAAAAAAAATAAGGACATTTTCAGTGAATCTATATAGAATGCCTTATTTTTTTATTTTTAGTAAATTAAAAGTTACATAATTTATATATGATTGTGTTATACTTTTAATAAGTCTTTTTTTTTTTTTTTTTTTTTTTTTTTTTTTTTTTTCTTTTTTTTTCACGGTTTTTTTTTTTTTTTTTTTTTTTTTTTTTTTTGTCCTATAAACTGGTAAAATTATAAATGTACATATAAAATTATATATATTTATAGTTATGTATTAAATTGTGGAATTTTATTCTTTTGTTATTATTAGTTTTTAATAAAAAATTTAATAGTTTTTTATATGAATTATAAGATACTATTTTTTGTATAATGTATATGTTATATATAAATAATTATATTTTCTTTATTTCTTTAATATTATTTCAGTAGAATAACAAAAAGCAACATAAAAAATACGTGTATTTAAAAAAAAGAAAAATTTTCCATTTAAAAGAAATCTATATATATTTATATATATATATATATATTTATATATATATTTTTTTTACATTTTAAAATAATTGGGAATAATTATACGTAAAAAGATATATTTATAAATGCATGCTAATAGCATAAAAAAACATTTTTTATTTTTATATATGTTTTTTTTTTATTTGTTTTAATTTTTATTATTAAAAATTTATCAAATTTTTTTTTTTCATTTTATTCCAAATATACATGTATATATATACTTTTTTTTATAACAATTTATGAATTATATATATATATATTTTTTTTTTACATTTATAAAGAATGGAATAAAAATGAAAAAATTTGCAATGAATTTATTTTTGATAAGTATATTTCTTATATTATACAATGTAAAATGTAATATATTAAGTAAGAAATGTGAAAGTTGGAATGAGTGGTCAGAATGTGAAAATGATTATATTTCAAGAACCTGTAATTATGATTATTCTATTCGTGATTTAAAATCATGTAAAAATTGTGGGAAGTGGGGAAATTGGTCACCATGTAATAATGGGATAACATTTCGATATTTAAATAATTGCGCATTTATTAAAGATGAAAAGGAATGTACTAATAATAATGAAGAGAATAATAAAATAAAAAATGAAAATCCTCAAGGAATGTTAACTAATTTGAGTAATGAAGATTTAAAAAAAGATAACAACAAAAATGAAAAAACTGTACTAAATAATAATGATAAGCAGTATAAGAAAGAAAATGAAGAATTAATATTTAATGATGAAAATAGCTCACAAAAATTAGAGATAAATGAAGATAATGATTTTTCTGAAACTTTCGGAAATATAACTGAAGGAAATAAAAAAATTGATAATGGAAAAAGCGTAAAAAATATTCATTTGATGACACCATCTAATTCATTTAATAATGAAAGCAATACAAACGAAATAAGAAATGAAAATCCAATTTATGAAAATACTAAATTACCATTCATTCGAGAAAACAAGAAAAACGAAATTAAAGAACATAATTATATATATGATATAAATTCCATTAAAAGAAAAAAAGGTGAAAATGAAGATAATAATATTAATTTACATAATAGTAATAATGAAATAAATAAAAGTTACTACAATAAGAAAAAAGTAAAAAAACTTAGGGACAACCAAAATATAAAGATAATAAATCAGAAAAATGAAATTGATAAAAATATATCAAAAGAAAACCTTAACAGTACTGTTAGAATGAAAACTTATGATAACACCTTTAATGATGAAAACAAAAACTTATATAATTTTCGTGAAATACATGAAAACGAATATGATACAAAGAATAATGATTTTAAAGGAAAATATAATGATTCAATAAAATTTAATAGAATATATATAGCAAGTGGTTTGGGCGTTGTTTTAATTTTAACTGGAGGTATTGTAGGTTATATTATTCATAAAGAAAAAAAAACAGATGATTTTCCTATAGATAGTAAAGAAGAGAATTATGAAGTTATTTTTAATGATGATACTTCAAAAAATAAAAGTATCAAAGCATTATATGAAGAGGAATTTTGGGCATTTGAATAAAATTAATAACATCATAAATATAATTTTAATTAAATAAATGTATTTTAATTAATCAAATATAATTAAATTAGTTCAACTTAATGATTTAATATAATTTAATTTTATAAATGCATAAATTACTAAATATGATTTAATATAGTTTAATAAAAACATCGAAACAATTTTTACCTAATTTTGTCAATAATATGAACAAAAAATATTTTCATGTTTTATAACAGAAAATAATAAAATATTAATTTAAAAAAAAAAACATATATTAAATTAAGGATATATATATATATATATATATAATTTTTTTTTGTTTTTCATAATTATTTAATTTAAAATTTTTTTCTCATTTAAAAATTTAATACACATTTTTTATTTAAAGTTAATTTATATATATATACATAAATATATGTATTTTTTTTTAATTATTAATGATTTACTATATTTTTTTTTAAATATTTAATATATTTTTTAATATTCTTTTTTTTTAATTATTTAATATATTTTTTTTCTCATTTTCATTAAATGTTATTATTTTTAAGTACATTTGAATTTCTTTAATAAAATATATGTATATGAATATATTTTTTTTATTATTTTTAATTAATTTATATATATATATAGATGTGCATATTTTATATTACATTTATAACCAGAACTCATTTTAAAATATTTTGGTATAAAATTAATTGAATTTAAATTCTTTTTTATTTATTTTATTTTTAATAGTATAGTTGATTATTTACTACTATAAATTATTAGATTTATAAAAAAAAAAAAAAAAGGTCTTTTTATTTGAAAGTATTAAGGTTTTTAGCAATATAGGTTAACTTTAAAAAATATGTTGTATATTAAAGTAAAAAATAATTTTCATATTACAAAAAAAGAAAAATATAAATTAAAAATGAAATGAAAAAGGAATATCACCATGAGTCTTCACATAATTGAGAATTTCCTTGAACTTTGGGTAGAGCTTTTCCAGTAAAATAATAATTGGAATGAAATAAAGTACCAAAAACTATAACTGCCTATTATGATGTTTTTTTAAAAAAAAAAAAAAAAAATATAAATTAAATGACATAAATATACAAGTTAATATTTATTTAAAATATCGAATAATCTTATAAATAAAAAAATCACATTAAAATTTGTTTAATTTAATTGTTTTTTACTTGCAAAATGAGCCATCCCCACCATACGTATTCTGACATGGGTGATATCATATTCGTTGCAATTTCAGGAGTAGTATAATAATCTTCTAAATAATGAGTTAAATATATTTTCGTAAAAGATATATATCTTTTCGTAAAACAATTATTGCTTTTCATTTCATTTTTAATATATGTATTATTAAGTTTCATTAAGGGATTATTTAGTCTTTTAATAACTTCTCTACCAAAGTTTTTTATAATCATTTTGAAAAATTAAAAAATATTTAATCAAAAGAAATATCTTGAACTTAATCTTAATAATTCTACATACGATTTATTTATTCTTTAATGATGTGATTATATAAAAAAAAAAAATGTTTAGATAAAATAAAACAAATTAAATACTTTTATTTATATAATTAAAAAATAATTTTTTTCATATAAGTATATTTTTCTATTTTTTATTGTTTTTAAATGATTTACATTTTTTTTGTTTAAATGGATAAAAAAAATTAAAAATAAAATAATTTAGATAACATTTAAATGAAATGAAAGTTTTTTTAAATAAATGCAATTTACATTAAACTTTAGAAAATTTGTGTTTTTTTATTTTTTCCACAAAACAAAGAAAAAGAAAAAAAAAAAAATTATTATATAAAATATGAGATTGCATAAGGTATTGAAAAGTTATAAAGTATAAAATTTTAAATGAAAAATTAATTTTTAAAATTATAAATGGTATATTTTTTTTTATACATCAAGCAATTGGGAAATTTTAAATAATTTTTCTTTATGCCCATTTTTAAATCAATAAAAAAATAATTTAACATACATTTACTATTCTAGCAATATTGTTGCATGAAAAAAAAAAAAAAAAAAAAATATATTGTGTATATATAAATCCATGATAAATATAATTAATTTTTTCTAACACTACAAAAAGTTTATCGTGAAAAATATATTTTTAATATTATAATTTTTATAAAACTGAATAATGTAACTTAGTTTTTTGAATGAAAAATGAAAAGCAATATAACCCAATGAAAATAAAAAATAGATTAATTACCTTTTATTTTAATATAGTACATTTTTTAATTTTATATTTTAAATTGATAATAAATGTAAGCATACATTTTTTTTTTTTCTTTTATATTTCTAATCTAAAAATTTATTTATAAAAATAATTTTTTAAAATATTTTATTAGTTTAGAAATAAAAAAAGAATTCTATTAACATCTATTTTTGTTCTAAAATTTAGAACAAATTTGTAGCTACTAAATGCTAATATGATGAATTAAAATGTTTTTTATTAAAACATAAATACCATAACTTAAAAATATATTCCTTTTTATATGAAAGTTTCATAAAGAAATAAGTGAAAACAAGTAAATTTCACTTGAAGCTTCATTACATATAAAAGAAAACTATATTCTGTAGGGAATATCTAAAAAAATAATTATTAGTATTTTTTTTTTTTTTTACATTTAAGATATTATTTAATATGGTTGAGATGAAATATATATGTGTTTAAGTAATTTTTCTACATTTATTTTTCTGTTAAAGATTTCTTATATAAAAAGATAAAAAAAAAATAACATAAAAATATAAAAATAAACATGAAAAAAGAAAATAGAAAAAAATATTAATTTTAATTTATATATAAAAAAAATAATAAAAATAAAATTAAAAAGAAATATAATAAAAATGAATAAATTAATAACTTGTATTAAAATGATATCTTAATATTTTTTTTCATTATAATATTTATATAATAATTATTTTTAAGTAACAAAAACATTATTTAATATTTTAATATTTAATTTTAAAAAAAGTAAGACAAACGTTAAAGTCTCAGTATAGTATATACATACATTTTTTAGTAAATTATAAAATATATACGATACATAAAATGTTTTTATATTACTCCTTCTCTTTTTTCTTTGCTGAAGAGCTTTCATTAATTTTTGAATCTAATATATTTTCTGTATCTTTTTTATTTTCTTCATTTTTGCTTTTTAAAAAAAGTGAAATACCATCTAAAGTCAATTTTCCTGCTAGTATTACAGCTATACCCGTAGCTGCTATGATACTTGAAGTTGCTTCAATTATTTTGTTGCAAAAATTATTCTCCTCGTTATCTATTATGAATGGATAACTATAACCTAAGGGATCGCATGAACCTGGATATAATTCATAATTATTGCTAATATCACATAATTGATTATTATAGGGAGGTGATGAAACTAATAAAGGGTTCATCTCATAAGTTGCTTCATCATTACCATTACAAAGGCAACTTAAAAAGCATTTATTTTTTTTTTCTCTACCATATACAGTAAAAGGATTTAACATATTTAGAAAATTGTCATTATGACCTTCAAAAAGAGGTAATTCTCCAGTATATGGTGCACTAAACATATCAGGTTGAATTATAGTGTTTATGTTCTGAGGGATATATCTAGGAATAGGAACTTCATTATGTATTTCTCTTCTTGGTCTAAATGGTACTTGTACTTCTTTAGGCACATATTTAAATCTTTTGTATTTTTTTTTTACATACTTATCGACATATTCAATTTGTGGTACATCCACTACTTTATATACTGGTTTTACTCTAAGTTTTTTTTGAGGAACTTCAACATTTTTATATTTATACTTGTCTTGATATATTGGGGTTTCTATATCTTTCACAACAGGATATGTACGATATTCAATTCTTGGTACTTCAACTACTTTTTCTCTATATTCTATCTTTGGTACATTAATTGTTGTTTCTTGAATAATGTTTTTTATAACTGGTTTTACTAAGGACTTTAAAAAAAAATACATATACATATATATTATTCATTTAATTGTATACTACGTATTTTTTAAAATATCAATGAAAATAAAAAAAAAAAATTTATAATATAACGTATTCGTTTGCTATAAGTATATAAATATTTTTTTAGATTATTTAAATTATTTTTATATTACTTCATAAATAGGAACATCCACTTCTACGGTTGTGCTTGGAGAGTCTTCAATTAGTTGTGGCATTAATGGTGGTGCAGGTCCTAGAATATATTTTTTTTCATCTTTGCAAATATTATCGCACATTTTTATATTTCTAATTAATTATAAAAAGTCAAAAAAAATATATATATATGTATATATATATATACAAGTTATTTTGTAAAAATGAAAAATAGGAAAATATATAAATATTGTTTATATACTAATAAATATAAAATATCATGTTTATTATTAGTATGTAAAATTAAAAGTATAAATTTAAATATTGTATAAAGAGAAAACTTTAAAATAGTGATATAAACTTCATAAGATTTAAATTTAAATAAAATTAAATAAATAGAAGGGGATTTAATTTAATTTTTTCTTATGTATTCTTTTAAAATTAAATGATATTTCAAAATTTATTTTTTCTGCATTTAAAAATTGTTACATATATACTGAACTACATATGTATCATAATTAAAAAATAGGAGTGAAATTTAGATCTAAGTCACATTGGAATTTTTATTATTTTATGTGAAAAATAAAAAATCTTCCTAAAAAAAGAGATTTATAAATTTATAAGATTAAGCATTAAACTAAAAATTAAATTAAAAATATACTTTTAATTTTTAATATATATATTCTAACTTAAAAAATCTCTATTTTAATCAGAGTTTTATCCGAGGTGTAAAAATTGAAGAAAAAATTGTGTGTAAAGCTATACTTAATGCATGTGTGTTCTTTGTATTAGCTTACCAAAAATTTTACAACAAAAAATTTTCTCCACAACATATTAAAAAACAGAAAAGTTAAAGTTTAAACAATTTCATATAGAAATTATTTAATTTTATATAATAGTTTTTATTAATTGATCAGGAAATTAAATATTCGTAAGCTAAAAATTCATTTTTTTTTTCTAAGATTTAAACAGTATTACAAAAAATTTAGCTGTTCGTGAAGCAATTTTTTTTCTAATACTATAACAAATTTTTTAGTGATATATCTTTTTAATAATTTGTCTGTTTCACAAATATAATTATGTCTAAAATTTTTAATTTGTTAATTTTCATTACACACCTTTTTTTTTTTATGATAACTACTCACCTTTTTTCATTGAAAAGTATAATTTTATACATGTTAATTATTAACAAGAAATAAATTATTACAAAAAAAAAAAAAAAAAAAAAAAAAAAAAAAAAAAAAAAAACAACAAAAAAAAAAAAAAAAAAAAAAAAAAAAAAAAAAAAAAAAAAAAAAAAAACTCACAAAATTAATAAAAATTATATGAGCAAAAATAAAATACCAAAAATTAAAATTATATAATAAAATAAAAATAGACTAATAAAGATAATAAACTTCCTACTAATTTAAATAAAAAGATAAAGTATTTTTCAAATGTAATAAGAAAAAAAAAAATAGTAGAGTCATGAATGAAAAAAATATTCTACTATGTAATATATATTTAAAATTTCTAATGTTATTCTTTTTTTTTAATATTATATGAAAATTTACATATAATCTATTTTATTCTGTACTACTTTTAGTAACGCAAATTTAAAATTTTTAAAATATTTTTATAATAATAAATTTTAGGGAATTAAAAAATAGAAAAAAGTTATCACATGAAGATCTATGTTTAAGTTATTATAAGGATTTATTTTTTAGTAACTTATTTTTCTTTTATAGAAGAAAAGAACAAAATGTAAAATTAAAAATTTCAGTGGATTTTTTAAATTTTCATAATTTTGCTTATTTATAAACATTAACATTTAATTTTTTCTTTTTTTTTTTTTTTTTTTTTTTTGCTTATAAAAATGTTATTTAGAAATATTAAAATACTAAAACAACTTTACATTTATGAAAAATATAAAATCTTAACAAATAAAATGTTGTACTTATTATAAGTATTCCGAATTTTTTTTTTTTTAAAAAAATGGTGAATGTAATTAAAATAGAATCAAAATTCCTTATGTTGGTATTATGTACTATAGTATTTTCTCATATGTTACATAGCGGTTGCTATAATACATATAACTTAAATAAAGATAAATTACATAATTATGTAATAAAAAATTTTAAGTTGTTATTGAGACAAAAAAATTCAAGAACAATTATTAATGATAATAATATAATGTGCAAATATGAGAAAAAGGAAAATATATTTAAAGTTTTTAATTCAAAAATTATATTTTATGAGCCTTTTGTTGACATTTCTACTTTCACCTTATGCCCAGTCTATCCAAGAAATTTTTATTTTAAATTTCATTTAGATTGGTTTATTTCCTTAATTTTTGTTAAGAAAATTAACATATGTATTTATAAAGCTTTAAAATTAATATTAAGTTCCAATTTTTTAACCTTTCTTTTAATTGTTGCAGAAGTTGTTGCCTTCGCAGAATCTCTTTTTGGATATTATATATTAATAATATTTATTTGTAAAAAAATTATTATTCCACTATTTAAAGTTATTTGTTCAGGAATTGCTATTTTTTTAACTTTTAAATACTTTGTTCTTTTTATTATTCACATCAGGTAAATTTATAAGAACACTACATAGAAAAAATTAAGGAAGCATAAAAATCCATAAATATATTAATGGACAATATTTAAAAAAAAGAAAAAAAAATTTCAACAAATAAATACATATTATTCTTCATAAAATTATTTTATTTTTCTTATATATAAAGTGTAAATGTATATATACATGTATACAAACATATATGTGTGTAATGTCAAATAATATGAATTTATAAATGTTATTTCAAAAATATAATAAATATTTCCAAAGGTTTTATACAATAATAAATTAAATAAAAGTTTATATTAAAAATAATTTTAAAAATATATGATTTTATTTTATAATCTATTAATAAACTTTTTATGTATTACAGATTTATAATGCCAAAAATAGTAATAGAGTCAATCTTCAATTGTATTAATTTATTGAAATTTTATTTTAAAGAAGTACAAAAAAGAAAAAAACATTAATAAATAATAAGAAGGAAAAATAATAAGACTTTTATTTTTTTTTTTTTTTTTTTTGTTTATAGTTTAAAGAAATATTTAGTAGTTTAATAAATAACAATATTTAATCTTTATATAGAAAATGAAAGGTGTAATTATAAAAAGAATGATATAACATTTTTAATTGAAGTTATTCAATTTTAAAAATGCCGTATGGTATATATATTTATTTCTAAAACCTAAAATATGTTATATTTCACTATTAATTTACGCATAAACAAATTAACATTCATTTTCATTATATTTTTTATGATCCTTTTTTTTTTTATTTAAACTTATAATTAACTGTAACAAGCTAGAAAAACATTAATTATATATTCCTATATAATAAAAACTATATTTCATTTCATAAAAATAACAGTTAAATAAAGTATAAAGTAATCAATATTAAAATAATAAAAAATTATCGATATTAGGAAAATTTAAAATCTATGCTTTTTTTTTTTTTTTTTTTTTTTTTTTTTTTTAATAAAAAAAAAAATATGTTAAAATATCTGTGTATGAAAGAATTTTAACTTTATAAATAAAAAAAAGGATAACATAATAAACATAAAAATTATAAAAAACAAATTGACGTATAAAAATATTTTAATTAAAAAAAAATATCTAAAATTTAAGCAATAAATCTTTTATTTAAATAAAAAAATAAAATATTATATAATACTATAAGATACTATACAATATAATACTTACTCAAAAAATTAGAAATAGAGGAATTTAATATATCATAATATTCAAATAAATTATATATACAAACAATTAATGCATTAGGACTTACATATAAAGTAAATGAATTCTTTTTTTCAGCGCAAATTCGAATCATTTTATATTTAGTTAGATTTGGAAATCTCATTTTTTCTTCCGGTGAAAATAATTTTTCTAATCCATAAATATTAAACTCACCAAGATTTTTTATTAAATTTCTTATCTAAAATAAAAAAAAAAAAAAAAAAAAAAAAAAAAAAATATCAACTTTATAAAGGACAATTTACTTACTATTTTTTCTTTTTCTTATTTTTTTGTGTTATAAATATTTATGAAAATAAAGAAACATCAACAAACAAAAAAAAAATAAATATAAATACAGTATGATGAAATATAGTAAATTTTATGTAATGCATGTGTGTATATGTTTATATTAATTTAAACATCTACCTGATACTCATATTTGGTTGACAATACGTCAATATATTGAGTGTCTTTATAATTATATATATTCTCAAATAATATTGGCGTAAAATAAATATCTTTTGTGTTATGAATGGTAATTAAAATATAATCTGTCAAGTACATTTTAATTAAATCATCTTTTTTTATTTTATCAAGTGTTAACATTCCAGTATTATGACTAAAATTTGTTTTTTTGAACAAATAATTATTTAAATAAAAAAAAAAATTAACAGCTCTTAAATTTTTTAAAAATGGTAATTTTAAGATATAAATATTTCTGTCTTCTGATAGCATTATATATGTATTATTACAATAAACAACTTCTATTATTTTTAATTTGGGGGATTTTAATTTCTTAAAAATAATATAGTTACTTTTCTTATCATTACATATTTTATCATATTTATTCGAAATATTCGACAGATTCCCTCTTTTATATATCCAAAAATAAATTTCTTTGTTTTCAAATAAAACACAACCATGATTGCATGAAGTACCACTAATTAATTTTTTGGGTTTTGAATTTATTAACTTTTTTTTAAATTTTACATTATCAGATATTTTTATATATAAAAAGTAATTTTTTTTATTTATACAATCATTATCTATCTCTTCATCTATTGTACTATCAATTTCATTTTCTGTATATTCATCTAAAGTTTCATTTTTATTATTCATAGTTCTTGCATTTTTTTCTGGATACTCTAAAATATTTTCTTTTTCTTTTTTCAAATAATTATTAATTGTACTATCACTAACAACTTCATTTTTTTTCTTTAATTCCAATTTAATGTTGTTGTATTCTTGTTTGTTCATTATTTTATTTTCTTTTAATTTACAATAATCTCCACATGAATTTATCTTAATATGACTATTATTAATATTATTTATATTGTTATTAAAATTATTATTTTTATTAATATTTTTCAAATTATGGTCACTTCTTATATTAACATTATTTTCTGTATTTTTATTATTTTTATTCTTATTTAATATATCTATAAATTCGCAACTATCACTAGAATAATTTTTATAAGCTCCATTAAATTGAGAGTAATTTCTTCCTTCTCTGTTATGATTTATATCAAATTTTAAATACTTATCATTAATTCTTTTTCTTTTCTTTCTTTTACTAGTATAATTATATGATAATTCAAAAATAGTTGAATATTTTAAGTCTACATTATAATTTTTAATATCACAATCATTTAACTCTGGTAAACTAACAAATAATACATTGAATTCTAATTTTTGTTTTACCAACTTTTCTGGTATTACTATTTTAATTTGCTTAATATTCATTTTATTAGAATCAATATTAACATTTAAACCTAAATATAAATTATTTTGATTATCTATTAAACTAATACAGAAAATATTTATTGGATCAAATATATTGTCCTTAGAAATTTTCTCATTACATATATTATTTTCATTTTGTATCATTTTATTTTTATTTATATTATCAAAATATATATCACCTTGATAATTACATGAAACCACTTGAATATTTGTAATTTCATTATCTGTAGGAATTTCTATGTTCTTCCATTCATTAAAATGATCTAAATGCCATAAATATCTACTATGTTTATAAACATATAATTTATTATTAGATAAATATGCGAGGATATGCCATCTCGAAAAATGAATTAATTTTATAAAATTATTTTCAAATATATCATTATTAAATAAATAATCATTCATATGAATACCTAAATGTGGTTTAAATTCTTTTTTATTAAATGCAATTGTTTCATTAGCAAATCTAGCGAATGCTCCTCCAAAGCAAGCAAAATTTTTTCCTATATTATATTTCTCTATCAGTTCCGAAAGCGCTTTAACATCTTGTTCTAAACAAAAATCATAAAGGACAATAAAATAACATTAAAAGAAAAAATAAGTTTTAAATACAAAATTATATATTTACAAATATAAGACGAAATAAAAAAAAAAAATAAATAAATAAATTTAAATTAGAAATACAAAAGCATTTATGTATATAATTTCAATTAATTCTGGATATTTTATTATATTATTAATATAAATATATATATATATATATATATGATATATTTTTAAAATTACGATAATAAACTCTTAAATTTTTGAAGTAATAAAATTTATATATTTATTTGAAAAATTTTAATAAATCTACCTGTAAATTTTTTTTTTTTTTTAAATTCACAATTTACATTTTCTATTTTATTGTTTTCTTCGATCCTATCATTTTTAATTATTTCATAGTATTCCTTATTTTTATAATTGATCATATTTTATATGCTTTCAGTTTTCAAAAAAAATTTTATTTTTAGATCGGTTGTTTAGAATTCTTTTCTTTCACAATTAATTCATGTTTATAAATATAATTAATTTATAAGTTAAAAATGTTTAATAAAATAATCAATTTTTTTTTACAATTTTTTTTTCTTTTTTCAGAAAGTATACTATCAGGGATTCTTTTAAAATAAACTCACGATGAAAAAAAAAAAAATTACTATTATATGTTGTTTTTTTTTTTTTTATTTTTTTTTTTTTTTTTTATCAGTTTATTCTATTACTTTGTTGTATTAAATATACATTTTTGTTTTTAACTACAAAAAACATATAAAGTACAATTTTGTTGTCCCCCAAAAAATAAGAAAATATATACAGAAAAAAAAAAAAAAATAAAATAAACAATTTTTAAAATATATACACTTCAATAAAAACTAAATAAGAAATTAGTTTTTATTTCATTAAAGGCATATAAAAACAAAATTAATATTTAAAGTTTATTTTACTAAAATAAAAATCAAAAAAAAAAAAAAAAAAAAAAAAAAAAAAAAAAAAAAAAAAATAAAAAAAAAAAAAACAACATATAATAGTAATTTTTTTTTTTTTCATCGTGAGTTTATTT